TAACTGCTGTTCTACCTAGTTTCAGTATATTTCTCTGGTAATATTTTGCTATGCATATATTTTAAAAATTAACACATATACAAATTTTGAACTTTTTCATTTAAAATATATTTTTTCACTTATATAATAAATACAATGACAGATTTTTAGTAAAAGATTTCTGTACAAGTTAATTGGATCCATTTGAATAACTTCTATTAATATAATTACAGATTAACAGACATGAATAACTTGCTAGGTAACAATATTTGGATGGTATAGTTTTTCTTTCTGAGGTCATGTGATGCTTGGTTGGGAACTGTTTTCCCCTTTATGATCCGGAGAACCCTCAGAACAACTCTTAAAGTTCGGCTGTTGTGATTTTGATTAAATTTCTTGCTTGATGGAAAACTAAATTGATTTCCTCTCCTCTGATGAGAGCTTAGAAAACAAATCAGAGCTTCAAAAGGCTCAATCTTTGTTCTGCTTTTCTCAGTTGGAAAGAAAAGAAGTCTAATATATTCATTCAAAGAGGGAGTAGGAAACATACTAAAGAATTTTTCTTCCAAGGGATAAAATAGGGGCCTTACCAGAACTTTAAACACTGTGTACATTTTAAAAGTGTTTTTCCTTGTATATCCACTTCATTTATCCAGCTTAATCAAGGAAAGGTGTGTGAATGGCTCTGTCCTCAGCCGGAGCTTTACTTTTGTTCTGTCTTTTGCTGTGCCTCTTTGAGGGGGTGGGCGTATACATGCTCTGAGACATGAACATCCAGGAAAACTTTACTTTCTCAGAACTTCCACTAAGAATTTAAAATTATGGCGACCTAAAAAGGTTATATTTCAGGTATAGTAAAGTGATATCACGTAAATATAATCTAGCTTCAAACCAAGAGGCGTGTCTGGTGTGCACACAAGGTGAGTGCATGCGCCGGCTCTGAGAAGCCCCACGAGGACCACAGCAGAGCGACGGGGACTCACACTGTCACTGCCCAGCAGAGTGCGAGGCACCTTGCTTTTGCTTCTTTGCGCCTTTCAGGGCTGCCTTCTCCCCAACAGTGAGCGTGCATGCATTTCACACGCACGCATTTCACATGCACGCATTTCACACGCACGCATTTCACACGCACGCATTTCACACGCACGCATTTCACATGCACACATTTCACATGCAGAGAGGACAGGGTTCCTTTTGGAAAAGAAAACTGGGAAGAAATTATTTCATGTAGGAAGCTCGCACAGAGACCTTTTCCTAAGTGAGCACCAGGCACAGTTTCTGGTGCGATGGGATCAGGGAAGCAGCCTGAGTAATCGCTGCTCGGTGGAGCTGACGGTCCAGAGAGGGACACGGAACATGAAGGACAGGTGCGGTCAGTCAGATGCGTGGTGTGGGCAGCACCAGGGGACACAGTGCACCAGAGCTCAGGGAGGGGACAGTGCTCAGGAGCGGGGGCTCAAGGAGAAGCAGCCCAGTGGGAAGGCACTCGGGGAGGACAGTGGACAGTAGACAGTGGACACTCCAGGCTCCTCGGTGCCCGCCTGGCCTGGCCTCTCCTCTGCCCCCCCGGAACGATGCTGTCCCCACTGGGCCCAGGCAGTGCAGTGGCCAGTCCGCATGGAGCCCCAGCTCCCCTGCCAGCTGGATGATCAAATGAAGCAAGTGGTTTTAATGAGAAAGTTTGCTATAACAACACTGAAAATGTAATGGGCTATCATTGTATGATACAGGAGTGTGAAATGATTGGTACTGGCAGACTCACCAGAGTGGATTAAGTGGAGGGGATACCTAGCTTGTTAAAGTAGGTGCCGGCAGCGTGTGGTCGACGTTCACATGTGCGAGTGTTGGTGTATATTAAACACAGTGCCATTTTTGTCACACTGCATTTCTTTCTGCAAGTTTTCATTTTTACAAGTTCAGGCTTGCGGTACAGAGTGATTATATTCATGGTGGGGCGTTGGTGTGTGCGTAACACTTCTCAGTTCTTGTTACTTTCCCTTCGGCATCTCTTGGCCCTCTTCCCATTTGAGAAAGTTCTTGCTATTATCTATCTTGAATTTGCTCTTCATTTATACTTTGGGTTTCTCATGTAGGAGAAACAATACAAGATTTAAGCCTGTGAGTCTGACTTATTTCACTTAACACTACGGTCTCAAGAAGTGTCCATTTTCCTACGAAAGACTCAAATTTATCATTCTTTACAGCAGAGTAGTACTCCACTGTGTGTAAAGACCACAGTTTCTTCATCCACTCTTCCGCTGATGGATGTACGCATCTTTCCGTTCAAAGACAGACGTGTATATATCAGTTATAAAAGCATCCTGAAATTAAAGCATGCAATTTAAAGTGTATATTAAATTACCTTCGTACTGTGCTGGGAGAGCAACTACACCGCCATTTTTTGTCATAGATGTGTCACTGTCAGCAATGATCCTAGGCAAGTTAAATCAGCCTAGAGGGTAACGGGCTGCGGTCACCCCCTTGCTGAGGACGCAGACGGTGCAGGGGATCTGGTGCAGCTGCGGCACCAGCCCACCTCAGGTGTTGGAGGCTGCCCGCATGTGTGGGAGGCTCTGGCCAGGGACGTGTCCAGCCCCTGTGCGGGAGGCGCTCCCTGCAGGGTCCCCGCCCGGCTGCGGGTGCGGGCGGAGCCCCGCTGCTGCCCGAGTCTGTCTGACCGCCGCCCCGCCCGGAGGCCCGGCCTGTCACCCTCGCCCACGGGACGTGGCGACTGCGCCGGCCCACGCCACGCCGCAGGGGCACTGCGTGTCAGCGAGGCCGCTTCAGTGCAGGGGCACTGCGTGTCAGCGAGGCCGCTTCAGTGCGTGATCACCGGCTGCGACCCTCTGTGGTCTCCTCGCCTGACGGACTTGCAGCGCCCCTGGCCGCCGGCTCGTCCCTGCTGGGAGTGGGCAGCGGCCGCGCGTCTGCAGGGAGGGCGGGGGGCGCACAGCCTCGGCCCGACCCCGCGGGACGCCCGGCGCGG